ATGATCGCCTTCCGGATTTTTGTGTTTCTTTTTGGGCTCACAGTTTCTAATGACTTTCACCACCGTTACCTGTCATCAATTTTACGGCCAAGGCAGTGTCTGGTGATCAATATCTTAGGAACGCGTCAGGAAGCTGCGTCACTTCACTATTGTGTGGCGGCTTTTGGGCGTCTGTAACCGACTGGTCTGTAATGCAGGTCATTTGTGGACCCATAGGCAAGGTATCTCACAACAAGTTGGTTGGCATGGAGTTCGGACCAACGCGGCCTGGTGGCATGTTCCCTAAACTTACATCATCTGTATGTCTTAGTGCAAATGACCTGATGGTTTGGGTGCCGACCTATCTGATGAGGTGCGTTCCCAATCCCGGCATCTCGAGTGCTCCCATAAGGCTCTGGCAACCTGGTCTTACCTCGGTTTTCGTGAATCCAATGGGCAGCGAACAAACAGATATCACAGCTGAACGATTATTATTTTAGAGCACTCATATCTGACAACGATTGCTCGTGATCAGCATATTGTCCAGAGGCACTACTTGAGTACATCAATAATCATCCAATCGATGTTTGGGGGTCTGACAACATCTCAGCCCCGCCGTATACGTGGACTACGCCAATGAACGGTTCCTAATACCAATGTACTGCGGTCCGCAATGCTAAGGGTTTTCTCTCCTAATAATCTCGTCCTTCTAGTGGGGATACAAAATGAATAGTGCCAAGTCACTCCCTGGAATTTTCAGGAAAGATAGCCATTCCTAGGCCAATCCATACATTACGCTTGGATGGTCATGAAATTCGGGTGCCAAAACCCGAGCTTCGAGTACGCAGCTATAATTTCGGATGACTTTCACTGAATTTTGAATATTTGATGGGCAAGTATAGTTATGGGGACTAACTGATCAAGGGAACGGGCGTACTACGAAAGTCATAGTTCACCAGAATCAAGGGTTCCGTTTGCGTTCGGTGCTGCCTCACCGCCTGACTAAGTTGTCTTCATCAACAAGTGTTAACTAATTATATACAATGGTCATAGACGCAAAAGAATCATTATCCGATAGCCATTAGGAATACGAGTTAAAATCTACGCATTAGGGCAGTAGCCTATATCCTTGACACGTAAAGCCAGGAGCAAAAATGAAATGCTAAGATTGGGACTGGAAAACACGCAGTGAACGCGAAAGCTCATAAGCGTGCACGCATTTTGGTGCACGAGTTGGCTCGACTGTGGGTCGTCAACCCTCTTGCGTATCACTAGTCTAGTTTTCGTGTGCCTTCATATAAGAGCAGTGAATCAGTGACGCCTGGGGCTTTGACACAAAGGGGAATCAGACTGACATGTCAGTAGTTGCCGTTATAGGGATCCGGCTACCCAAAAGCCGCTTTGCCGGGAATGTGCGGCAAAGAAATAAAAAGAGCGGCGCTAGATATAGTACACAATAATAAAGAGGTCAGGCGGAACAAACTCAATAAAAGTTGTTCCCTTGAAAATAGTTGGTCGTTAGCCCAGGTCAGCGAGTAAACAATAATCCAATCAAAGTTGTCCAGACTGAACAGTTTCCACATATAATAGGTTCCCGAGGTAGCACATGGGACTCGCGAATGACCGCTGTAAGCGCGGGCGAAATCGTAAGATGGAGTGACCACATCTGTATTGCGTGAAATTGTGCAAGTGCGCGTTTTTGTTGTTCTTCGAATTCAAACAAAAAACGGTTATGCAAATGGCAAATACGAAACGTTATAATGGAATCAAAAGAAAGATAAAAAACACCACACCATATTCGCAGTATGTACTGGGCAGCATAATCGACGCGACTAACTTGTCTGGGATATTTGTTATTCCATGCAGAGAAAATTAGGTCCCACTGGCATTTATCGAAGAATTCATCCCAGTTATTAAGCGTAATACGTGAAAAATTTTCGGGACCAGAAGCTCGGTGCCCTCGTATTAAATATACACACGCCATTGACCCGAGGATGAACGCCGCTCGGAGTTCATGGTTTGCGCCTCTATTACAAACCAGCAGGGTGAATAAAGAAAAGCATATAGTTAGCGAAATGTTCGAAAAATTCATGTTCGTGGCCCAAATATTTCCCGTCTTTTGCAAGGGAGCCGTTTAGTCCTTCGGCAGGTTCACTGACAGAGGCTACAGAGACATTGAACGCATCAGTTAGGGAAACCAGTAGATATTTCCCACACCTTTCTCTCCCTTCAGTTCCTCAGCTTTCTAGACCCACCAGTCTTCCGGGCTTGCAGCTGTCTCCTATTTACCTGGTGTCCAGCCTATACTTGGTTATAGCGGTACTTATACGCACTGTAGACAGTGGATCACATATTGTCTCCGATTGGTTACCTGCAAGGTAACCCAATAGAGACTGTCACGGAAACAAGCTAAAAGTTATTGCAGGGTTATTTGTAAGGTTACTACCTAATTTATGGCATGGTCGCTCCAGTATTTTAGTTGTAGTGCGAGGATCTCTGAGACAAAAATATTCGATTCTGATTGGCTCATCTTCTCACCGATTAGCACATGCCATCGTATGTTTGGCGACTGGCTCGCGACAGGTCCGTTCAGTCGACGTGGTTTTAGTTTGTTAAGAGCAGCTCGCACCCGGATCCCATCAGAGAGGCTGATTTCGACTTAACCTGTGTTATTTCTGGGGGCTGCCGACGCTTGTTAGTCCATCCACGAAACATGAGCATGATGATATGATATCTGGCACAGGCAGACCTGGCTGTCCAGGTTAGATGTGCGTGATCGCTGTTAAATGTGTAGTATACAGTGTCTGTCAGTTTGATTGATTTGGACATAACTATTGGTTATGTTCAACCTTGTTTACCGGACTTCGGTTAATGAGCTTTGTTTCTGTTTTCCATCCACAGATATTGTCGTGAACACCTGCCTTCGGAGAATCATTGTCCCTTGGTGCTTCCATAGCCTGCATGCTACATACTTGGCGACCACGCCAGGATAGTTACCATACACTGGTGGACCTACCCCAAAGATCCTGCCTTTACATACGTACATACAGGCCTCAGAGCTAGCACGTTGCTCACTCAAACACGGTTGATGCAGCCTCTGGCACAGCAAACTCTGCAGACGCTCACCAGCCTCACGCGCCACACCACCGCAAAGTGATTCCGTCTTGGGGCTACATCTGCTGCTCAAATTTGATTCGCTTGACGCGCTCATTCCTGGAACCAGACTTGAAAGCATATTTGACGGGGTCTGCGACCCGGCATTCACTGTAGCAACCACGAGTTTTCACGGAGTGGTATGTTGGATTGAGACTTTCTCCCAGGCTTCCCTGATCAGATTTGGTCTTGTGGTTCAGCGGCTTTCGTTCACCTGGAAGGAACAGGCGAAAAGCCATGTAGCACCAGCACGGGGCAGTAAGCTTACCAGCGCGAGGACTCACATGAAAAAGCATCCAAAGGTACTTTGAACTGGGTGCTAGATTCAACATGAACCACCGTCGGAAGAAGGCTATTCCACGCACCAACTACCCAAAACGAGAAAAAAATGTTGCCGAATAAAAGCGTGTGCTCTGAGCTTGAGAATCTCACCATGTCCTCGCTGTCTGTTAGTTGGGTCAACGGTGAAAACCCTGTTGGCCGGACCTTGTTCAAACAGGGCATAGGTAAGTAGCAGGTCCCCTTGCGGGTGACGACACTCCGGAGCAACAAGGTCAAGAACCGCGAGACGCGTTTCATAGCCAACGGATTTGAGGCCGACAAATATCTTCGTAGCGGCGCTTTGGACATGTCCAGTGAGCACTACGTCTTCCTCGCGTCCTGAGTTGGTTAGTATATTCAAGAAGCTGTATAGCTTACTTCCCATATAATTTCTGGGAATCCATGTGAGTAATGCGGGGGGTGCGCCGTATCATCCGTAGAACGACGAATGCCGTTTGAGTCGACCTTTCATGGTGAAGTGAGAGGTATATGTTTGAAGAGGGTCAAATACCCAAATCTTTTTGGTATCTACCTTCGTACTGTTTTCTGGTCCATTCTGATAATGGGCGATAAAAGCGGTTTGCTGAGTCCTTTCCGAATGATTTGTGGATGCATTTTCTTCACTTAGGGGAGGGCTCTAGTCCAGTTGCTACCGCTTTGCATCATCGACATCCGCTTGGAGTGTGCTGGCTTTTTAACTCTGTGGTTTCGAATCTTTCGCAAAAAGTAGTCATGGACTTGAAAGCACATCTAGAAAGTCGCCGACGTAGAAACAAGAGTCTTAGTGAAATTTAATTTAGACCGATGTTGTAGAAGGGTAAGTTGGGCCGAGCTTCCTCGAAAATGGCTTTCGAACGAGAACGCCTTAATCCAGCACAGAATTTCTGTTTGACTCCCCTAAGAATCAACTGCTTGAGCAGTGAAACATATGAGAATTGATCAATTCCTTTTAGGAAGTTAGGTTATGAGGGGAACTCGAAGGCGGACTGCTTAGTTTAGGCCAACCTTCCAATCAAACACGGACTTGCCGCTTACTGCGATGTATCCAACCAACGGTTAGGGTTGTCAACTGGACTCCAACTCCTCCAATCTTGCCGAAGCTATCACAGTTCGCTCCGTATGGTTGACCGATCACCACTCCTTACTTGATTGGTCACTAATCTGCTGGTTAGTAAGCTTGATAAAATTCGCGGTGATGGGCGGAGACCAAGAGCTCGTCTGCATTTTCATAGGGAAGCCGAATTTTTGACCGGCAAAGGAGTAGCCTTACATAAACCATGTTCATTTAGACGCCAAAATTGGCGAAGAGTGACGAACACAGGGCGCACTTTCTCATTTCGAAGGCTGCCCTGACTATTGCACGATACAACACTTCCCAAGTAAGTGAACTTGTTAACAATCTGGAGCAGGTAACCTACCATTTCTAGGGCGGGAGTACTCATACCCACTCTCGTAGCATGAATTCACGCCTTAAAGGCACAAAGCACATCCCGGAAAGTACCTTTCTTTTCACAAGATTTGTCGTTTTTTGTGTTCAGGAGGGTGGACGGCGCAAAGGACTGTGTCATCTCACCCCTCCTACTCTGTATGCTTTGCGTAACAGTTTTTCTCGGAATGTTTTTTGATGGCTTGTTTCATTTCATCCGTTTCAGATAAGAAACAATTTCGGCCACATTGTGACGATGAAAACATCCTAAAAAACCCGCTTCGGTTTCGATCCGCGTTGTCTTCTACTTTTTAGAAGAGACTGTGAACATGGCACTGGAAGATCCGAATGCAACTTGGTGGTACTGTGCAACTCGAGCTGTACACTGGATTTTGGCCCGCATGGGCCTTTTTCAAACTGTCCTGTTGTTTATGTGGTTATCCGAAAGAGCTCAGCTGAACCGAACCCCTCCGATTGAACCCTGGATCATCTTTGTCCATGTATGTTGTTTTTCAATGTTTACTCAAAAACTGACGGAACTGATCATTTTTTTTATCGTTTCATTGCGATTCGGAAAATCAAACTGCTCATATAGAAACGTTTTTAAAAGATACATAGTCCCCCCCGTTTTAAAGGCTTTGGTGACTATCTGTCACAAGACAACGTAAACACATGCGTTTTGGGTCTGTGGACATCATTCCACGATAAATCGAGAAGCACCACTGCTAACTACTAAGTCTGTTAACATCATGTTCTTCAGCGCATTAGCATTAACCTAGCATAATTAACTCCGATTGATTTAGTATTGGTAATTGCAACTCGATATTACAACGGATTCTGTGAATATTATGTTGTCCTTTTGAATTCTGTCAGCAAGATAGTGAACTCTAGGGACGAACGAACGAATCTGCTCAAATACCAGCGTCCTCGCGTTTGTTTCAACAATTACCGGGAATTACCAGTAAAGAGCACCATGAAATAAGAGAGTACAGTGGTCTTCCCACAACAGGGATCACTCCTAGGACAGCAGTCTGCTCAGGAGGAGATCCAGATTGATAGAGTAGGCTAAATCCTTATTCCAATGACCTGAATCGAATAGCTAGTTTCTGTAAGCCCTCATCTGTTTACATATCAAGGTATCTCCTTTATTCGGTTGGGTTCGATATAAGATAATCATACAACCAACGAATGTGAAGTGCTGTTAGGGTCCAAACTACCCACTCTTTTGCCAAGTGTCACTACTGGAAACAAGTGCTCCTCTCTGTTTTCCCTGAGTTGGTCTGCTGTTTTTTTTATGCGGTGTCTTCCCTTTCATACACATAAAGCTGATAAATTGGTGGGCTGTTGAACCTCTTGTGGTTGGACGTTTTCTGACGGTAGGAGCATTGACTTTCAGTTCACTTTCATGGACGCCGATAGGCTGCATAGTGTGGATTCCAGATTGAGTGAAACTAGCCTGAGTTGTTGGTGCGGTGGTACTTTTCCCCGTTTGGTTCACCACAATTGTCGAGTTTTGTTTAATTCAAAAGTGGGACTTGCTTGTATAGCTGTCTGAATTTGGAGTAGGTGAAGCTTACTTGTTCAGTAAGCTTTGCCTTAGATGAACTCAAAGTGATTATCTGACGGAGTGGACTATTGCAACTTAGTTGCGTTCAGCCGTAGCACCCTTCCGGTGCCTAGCTGCCATGCCACCCAAAGAAAACAGATTCGATAGATCCTGAAAGACAGAAGCACTTGGTTTTAATAAGATATGGACTGCATAGAATTCGAGAGAACAAAATGCAGGATAAAACTGGGCAGCCAGGAGAAGCCCGTTTGTCTGGATGGATGAGTTGGTTTCTGTGGAACTTAGTTAACAACCACACAATTGAGCCATCATCAAGTGAATCAGCTTACGGCTATTCGGGAGCGTTTTTGGTGTTGACTAGAACAAGTGAACCGTTGAACCCAAGTTCCAGTGTATACTTAATGATTCGTTAAATGCACCTAAGTACTAGGAGCCTTCTTTATACTAAAATTTTGTATGTCAAAACCGTAAATCGGCCCCCTGGATTCGCTTTGGAGGCAACAATTCGAGCTAAACATGGCCTTCGAACATCCTAGCTCACCATAGCTAGATGGGCAGTAATTGTTCTGTCGAAGGGGATCCGCATCCCCTGATTCCTGAGAGAAGTGATCCCCGTTGAGAAGTAGAAGGGCCAAAACGACAAGTTTTTCCGTCCTCTTTGAAAGAGGGTTGGCCTTTAACCCACCGATCCAAATGTACAGTTCGTGAGATGGCCGAGGTGCTACGTTTGTTCAGGGGGGATAAGTTTCCCTCTTGAAGGGATCACCATTGACGGGACGCCACTGTTTACTCTTTGAGGCAGTAGCATCCCTTTGGAGGGTTTCTGTTTACTCTGCTACATGTGGGAGATCCATCAGTGGGGACTGAGTACCAATGGCCGATGTTTTCTAAAGTGTTCCGCGCCCATCCATCACTGATTGTTTATACTTGTTGATTTTTCTGTTTTTACATCAACCTTTCCCTATTGCAAAGTCCCCACCTGAACCATAAATACTCTTGTAACATTTTTTCAATTCAGTCGATCGTGCCCTTCCGGTGTAAATCAGCTGCTTAGCTCACCGCAATCACAATGAGTGAAACCTTCAGTTTGTCCAGACTTAAATAAGAGTTATTCAGAGCTGATGTTTGAGATCGAACCTTGAACCTTTAGCTAGAGAGCCTGTGTCTAACTCCACATCATCCGAAGCACACTCGTTTTCTAACATCACATTTTGCGCCTATCAAGGACTGGGAAGTCCTCAACAAGATTCTCTCAGTCACGTGAGGCTAGGATTTGTTTTGAGTGAGGACTGAGAGCCATTGTGCTTGTATTTTCTGTCTTACTCTGCAACAAGCCAAGTGCATCGACATAATCGTCGTCAACATAGACAGCGTACAATATTGACGCTTCGCTGTCATACAACTACATGACCTTATTCAAATCAACTTGTATCATACCTTCAGTCAGTTGTTTTACACCCTCTTCTCCTCCATGACTTTTTTAACGAAGTTTTACTGTTTCTATCTCGTAGCACGTTTTTTAAAAATTGGTTTGACTTGAATTTGATCATCTGAAGGTCGGTCTGAAGAGATCACCTGCGAGGAGTAGTCAACGGCAGACGGGGTTATTGGTATACAATCTCATTATCTTATCCTTCTCTCCCGAGAGCCAACATTTTTAAGTCCTTCTGTCTTCATCACACACTTGTTCTCTGCCGTCACAAAGAGACTGGACCCTACCGTGGTGTGACAGTTTGCGCACCTCAGCGATCCACTGAGCTATACTGGGGGGGGGGGTCCCGCGACATCCACAGAGTCTTATACCAGGTTGGTCAGTGGTTAGAAGTCTGACAAACGGTCTCTTAGTCCTCCAGGTTGCGGGTTGGAACATGTGGCGACCTATTCCGTAGAAATGGTAATGCATTTGCATTTCCCGCCAAACACCGCTGCCTTGCGTTTAGGCTTTCGAGCCAAAGGCTTTGGCTGAGGACCCTAATTGTCCTCCTGTCTATGTATGGGCGCCCATGGGTATCCCAGCCCACGTGCAACCATGACACATACAACTAACAACTCTCATGCCACATTGGCCGTCGCGTGGTGCCATCAGCCGGGTCGCCTTACTTACTGCATACAGCAGAACGAGTAGACGAAAACAGGCTACTGCTCCCCCTTCTTTCTCTTTCAAATATTTCCCCTCCCCTCCTTGCCCCATTAATAACTCCTTGTAGTCCCAACTCTGATGACTCCGTTCATCATGCATCGGCTTTGCGTGCAGCATCTGCTCGTCACATAGCGCCGACATCCTCAAGCATCCCGAAATCAATATTCAAGCCTTGATACCCAGTCTATCTGGCCACCTTTAATGTCTACACTCTAAAGGAAGCAGTACAACAAGTTGCTCTTGCACTCACACTGGCATTGATGAGTGCTGTGTCTCAGAAACGAGAATTAAAGATGCAAGCACAGCGATTGAGCTAACCGATCCGTCAGTCTACACTCGCTTCCGGCTGCGCGCCTCTGGTGATCCAGAGGCCGCTGCGGCGGGATATACAGGGGTTGGTATCGTCCTAAGTCACCGGGCGGAAGTATCCTTGCTTGACTGGATACCTATTGATAGTCGCCTCTGTGCTGTTCATCTGGCAACGTCTGTGAAGGAGTCTTACAAGCGGCAGGTTGATAGATGTCTGTTCATCGTGTCTACCTACCCCACAACTGACTGTAGCTCCGATGCCGTCAAAGACAGCTTTTACGACGCCCTGAATGTTCTAGTGCGGCGAGCTAAAAGCTCAGATATTGTGGTGGTTGCCGGAGATATGAATGCACAAGTGGGCAGGCTTAGTGCATCTGACATAGAATGGACTCGGTACGTACGGACAATGGCGAACGATTGCTTCAGCTGTGCGCTGATCGCAGGCTGTTTCTATGCAGTGCTTATTTCCAAAATAGCCAAGTCATCTGGCCACATGGTGTCCTCCATCGGCATACCGGCCACAAACTCAAATCGATCACGTTGCCGTTAGCTAGCGATGGTGGGGATCAATAACTGACTGTTCGTCGTTTTGGAACACGTATGTGGATTCTGATCACACACTTGTCCGGAGTCACTTCCTTCTACTTTTTCCAGGGCCGCGTAAGGTGCGGACATCGCCTGGCAACTGAAAGACTGGCAGATGTGGATGTTATACAAATATACCAGAATCTTTTAGAATCTCCTCCAAATGCTCCACCATCAGATGTGATACTGGGACGAGATTGCCACCTCTTTGCATAATTCTGGGAATTTTGCCTGTGGCACGGCACCACAAGGCGCACGCAAGCACTGGATATCAGACCGAACGGTGGCACTGCTTAAGTCTTGGTGAAATATCCCAGCCGGCCCGGAACGACGATGCGACGATTTATCAGACGTCAAGTGAAAGTGAACGCGCGAGCCGAACGTGAAGTGTGGTGGACACAGAAAGCCAAGGAAATATAGGAGGCGCAGAATGTCGGTAATCGCCGAAGACTGTTTCACTTGATCCGTGCGACTGGTCCCCGGAAACCTCCTGTGGGCGAAGCCATTAAGCATCAGAATGGAACGACCGTCTCAAATAAAAAACTCCTCGACCGGTCGATTGAATACTTCGAACAACATCTGTCATGACCACCAGCTGGCACTGATTTAGAGCGCACAGGTGAAGCTGAATCCTGGACGGTGAAAGTGGAATCGCCTACGGCCTCCGAGATTAACGACTGCATATGTTCTCTCAAGTCCCACCGAGCTCCTGGTCCGGATGATCTCCCACCCGCGTTGTTCAAAGATGGGGGTGAAGCCCTCAGTCAACGCTTATCTGATTTGTTTGCTTGCATTTGGGGAAAGGAGTCTGTCCCAAACAACGGGAGAGTCGGTGACAATGCCCATTTTCAAAAAGGGGCTCGTAGTGAGTGTGGTAACCACAGGGGGATCAGCTTGACCCCGGCCATAGCGTGACCGTTGGCGTCACTGGTGCTTCGTCACTTGACAGTAGCTCGTGAGACGCTGACTGCAGAGCAGCAAGTGGGATTCAGACCTGGTAATGGTTACGTTGACCAAATCCGTCAGGCGCTAGAATAACGTCATACGTATAAGTGTTTCACAATTATAGTATTTTTGGATTTCCAAGGCACATTCGACTCGGTTGATCGGTCTGTTCTTGACATGCTTTCCCACCAAGGAATACCCCGAAAGTTTGTGAACATAATACATTCTTTGTATTCTCAGACTTCCGGACGTGAGAGTGTACGGCGAGCTCTCCAAGAGCTTCAGTAAACAAAGCAGTGTCCGTCAGGGATGCCCACTCTCGCTCGTGAGAGACTGCAGAGCAGCAAGTGGGATTCAGACCTGGTAATGGTTACGTTGACCAAATCCGTCAGGCGCTAGAATAACGTCATACGTATAAGTGTTTCACAATTATAGTATTTTTGGATTTCCAAGGCACATTCGACTCGGTTGATCGGTCTGTTCTTGACATGCTTTCCCACCAAGGAATACCCCGAAAGTTTGTGAACATAATACATTCTTTGTATTCTCAGACTTCCGGACGTGAGAGTGTACGGCGAGCTCTCCAAGAGCTTCAGTAAACAAAGCAGTGTCCGTCAGGGATGCCCACTCTCTCCATCCCTTTTATAGCTTCGTGATCGATGAGACCATGAGACGAACGCTGGAAGATCTCCAAGACCCTGGTGTTCAAATAACCTGTGAAGAAAACCTTGTCGATCTGGAGTACGCAGACACCTCGTTATCGTCTTCGAAAGAGGGGAGAAAACGCAAGTGTTTTTGGATGAACTGACCAAAGCCATCCCGTCCTTTGATATGCACTTCGCACTTTGCAGTGTAAGGTCATGCTCGTGGACGTGTGGTCACTGAACGCGCCACTTAAAATCCAGGTACTGGAGTTTGTGGAGCGTCTTACGTTTCTTGAAAGTTTTATTAGATCCGATGGTAGCGTGACAGATGAGATCAATACACGAATATGCAAGGCCCAGGTCGCGTTTGCTAATTTGAAACACATATGGCATCAAAGTAGTGTATTCTTGAATCTCAAGGGACATGTGTATCAAGCTAACGTGCGGGCTGTTTCGTTGTATGGTTTTGAGACCTGACCTGTTCGAGCAGCGGAACTGAGACGTCTTCAGGTGTTCGACAATCGTTGTCTCAGAACCATAGCTCGTGTGAGTTGGTGTCGGCGAATCCGTAACGAGGCAGTTATAGAGCGCGTTTTCGGTTGTGCAACGGGTACTTCCATTGAAGAATGTGTCCAGCACCAGAAGCTGCGTTGGTTCGGACATGTGTTGCGTATGCCGAACTATTGGTTGCCGAAGAGAGTGCTGTTATCCATGCCCAACTCAGAGTGGCGTGAGCAGAGAGGTGGCCAACCCTTGGCAGAGGGGTACGAATGAGATTACGAAACGCTTAGGTGCTGTCGGTGGTACTCGCCTTCCAGGATGGGGACCGTGTGATCCCCACTGCGTCTGGTTGGAGACATACTGCAAGATATGGCTGCCAACCGATGTCTGGCGTTCTTGTTGTCTGAGTGAATGTCTGGAGGTGTAGTCACCTCGGAAAAATTGTAGTAAGTTAGCACTAGATCCCTTCCCCGTCCACCTTTATTCTTTTCTTTACAATAAGGCTTTCAAATAAATCATGGTTGTACGGCAGTCAAGCATCGGTGTTGAACACTGATGTTACACTGTCGATGATGATAATGATGTTCTCTGGTGAGATCATCACGAGGTGCTGACTATAGGTAGTCCATTCTCGCAGAGAGCTTCGTTCGGATTTGTTGCAAAGAACTACTGCAGCTAAGCCGTCCGTACGAGCTAAATGAGTCTGAACTTTCGAAAACTCCCTCCGGGTGAAAAACAAATATGGGCTGACAAACTTGTTGGTGTAATGAGCACAATGGACGCAGAAAGCAAGAAAAACGGCACTAGCTATTTGTAAAAAATATGTAGTTCAAATCACTAGTAGGATGACCGGAGGGTACCAGTTTACACTCGGTTGTGGTTGTGTCCAGCAAAACGGACCAACACATTTTTCTCACTAGGCATGAATATATTTGCCTTGCTAGCTCAGATGTGTGTTTCAAAAGACATCTATGCGTTACTTGTTTACTGGGTACAGTGTCTGCTCTCACCTGCCCATTGGGATTGAATCCACGTGGCCCGATTTGCCTGACCTAAACTTCCCCGTTTCATGTGTGGTGCTAAAGCGTAAGCTCAAGATGACGCGGAGAATAAGATGTGAGCTTTCTAGTTGTCGAATTCGTCGTTGGAGTGCGTGCTTGGTTTGTCTGTTCTCCATGTCAACCTGACGTTAATTCACTCCTCGTGTGTCCTGCAGGTTTTGGAACGTCCCATCATAACAGTCTATCGAATGTTTCATTCTAATACTCTTCAGGAGTTTGAAAAACGCGTCTAGAACACGCTCAGCCACACTTTGTAAGTCATGCTTTTGAACCGTTCTAACGGCTGGTCACGTTCAGCCTTCACCCCCATCCGTCCAACCTTATATCATGTGTATCGACTGGAAGTACCTTAGTTGTGTTTTTAACCATCTGTACCCTTTTCGGTCCAGATACAAGATGTCTGGACATTATGCAACACGTGACTACCCCAAACAGAACGAAAAGTGTGGCCGACAATCCGTGTCCACGTCTTGTTACCGAGCTGATGATCGTGACATATGACAAACGAACTTTGCAACAATGATTACCCTTTTCTGTTTCCAACACCTGGACATGGTTTTGCGGTGTTTACCTGAATAACTGGTTCTTTATGTTCACTTTCCCTTCCCATCCTCCAACAGGCTGCTGTTGGCATGATTGGATCCACCGGTTTGTCGGCACGCTTTCTTGCACGGGCTTCACTCTATGCACTAACTGCAATTCAACTGCACCTCGGTTACTTATACGCATTCCAATCATCATTGGCCTATCCTAGGTGGCTTCGAGCTCGGGTCGCTCTGAGAAGCCTAGCCTCGGCTGCCGTTTACTTACGCATTCTTGGCATAAAACAATCAAACCCATCTGTGTCGTCCGAGTTTGTCCACAAGCGCACCACTTCACAGTATACTTTTGGTTTGAGTCTGCTATCCGTGTTTACGGCTCTGACAGGTCTTCTGTGTCTTCCCACCAACCTAATACACATCGATCGCGAAACCCAATTGATAGAGCATTCCTCAACGTGGCCTCTTTTTGTATGCCTTGAACCGTTTGTTAGTTTTTCTTTATGCCTTGGCTTTTGTGTAGCCAGTGTACTCTATGCGTTTCCGCTTTTGATCACTAGAAGTGCGGTACCCATTCATGACCACCGTGCTGACCAACTTTTATTTCGTCTGGCCGACTGGCTCACTCTGTCGTCACTGGCCGTTCAGTTGCTCTTCCGCGATAGCAATTTTTCCTACTGGACAAAAAATGGTAGCGAATTCTGGCTCCATTCGCATTTATTGCTCAACACGTTTATCATATTTGCCGGTGTACTCGTCACCATGGACATATTCAAGGCTGGTGAGCATTGTCCTTCCGAACCCCCAGTTCGTTTGAAGACAGACTAGAATTCTCCTGTGGTTTTCTGGCTGTGCAGTGCTTCTACTTTTTCATGATTTGTTATTTCCCATCGTGTTCCCACTGTTTTTCTAATTTTATGCGTGAGCGTTGCAAAAAAATGAAGACTCCATTCCATACCAAGAGGAGACAAACGGGTGCGCATTGACATTGTGTTGTTACAAATTGCAAGGAGACCGTTCTCACGTTTACAAACGATGACATTGTGTTTTCTCAATTGTCGGTTTCATCGGCTAAAATCATCGGACTACTCTGATGAGGTTCCCGGCTTTTCGGCACGGACTGAATACACCTAGAGGAAAAAAGCCCGATCGAAAACCTCATTCTCTTCTTACTTGGTTTTAACGGCAGACCTAGCCGAATCTCTTGTTTTCAGGGTATTCTTCACCTGGATGCGCTGCCTCATTTCAGTTGGTACGTTGTTTGAGATATCGTTGTATATTTCCTCGAGCGAACAGTGCTCAAGTAAAACATAAAATTGATGTAAAAACTCGAGGAATGCGCCTACCTGATTAGTTCCAAAAAGGGTAAAACCGGCCGTGAGCTGTCGAGGACTTTTCAGAGATATTGTGAGGAGTGTTCCCTCTCGCTCTTGTGTTCACATCACAACCCCAGGCAGAAGAACATAGATCGACTTCGCTTCTCTTGTTTACGTTGCCATGAGGTTTTTCTGGGGCACCAGTAGGGCACATCAATGTTATCAACTTTCTCGATCCTTACAAACTACTTAATTTAAATAAAGAAGCATCAGTGATGATTCTCAAGAAAGGCGAAAGTGGTTGTGAGCTGTCAAGTTTCCAGCGGCCTTACGAGTAGCATATTTTGTCAAGAAGGTTGATGAGTTTCCAACTAATTGGTCAAAGTTTTGAACCGACTGAGAAGTCATCGTTTCAGAAAGGCTTGGTACACTATCGCACTGATATCGAGTTCTTATGAAAGGCTCGAAAACAGCGGGGCACCAAGTGAGTTTAGAAAATGCTAAATTTTTGAGGTGGAGACTCCGGTTCACGTCACAACTACCGGTGGCCAAGGCGGCGGAAACCGCCAAATATCCTACGTTTAGAAGGTGTAGAGCCCCGGATGTTTGAAAAACGGTTCTAGATCAGTAGAGATGGTGTGCTATGCGAAGCAGAGGGGGCATCAACAGAAGTAGCCCTGATCGGTAACACATAATCGAAGCAATATCACGCCCCCCACCTGCAAACCCACACAGATCAACAAAATTTTACTAATAACACCCAGGAAGAAGCATCAAATAGAATGCCTTGATCCGGGAGATCAACGTCCCTAACTTAATCAAAATAATTTTAGATCCCACCTCAATACTCAAGCCTTAGTACTAAGGTATCGGCATCCACCGACAAGACCTTTTAACCGACATTCAACATTGTGCTAGTCGGAAAAGATCTTGCTGATTCGTTCCCAATCTGCCTCAAAACTCGGGCAACCGGTTGCCTGGCAGACCTTTGGAAAGAAATCAATGCGAGAGTGTTGCTTTCGTGAGGGGCATAGCAAAATAAAGCACAAACCGCAAAATTGACCGTAGAAGTTACACAAGCTTGAAGAAGCAGATCATATTGTAACCGCTCACGACCTCGGTTTCACCATAGGAATTTCCGTGGAAAGCAACTAAAATGATACAAGACAGCTTTTTACGCATGCAGTTCCAGCTTAGTTCTACTGAATATGAGTACAGCTCGTCCATTGAGTCTGATTCCGATTTAACCGTCTTCATGGTTGCTGTGGAAACGTCAGCAAGTAAGTTGGCGAACAGCTCTACAGCCACCCGGTCTACAACCAGGAGTCTACCATCGGAATTTCGAACTCAGTGGATCTTTCAGTAACGACTTAGTGAAAGGAGACCATAAGTAAGAACGTCAACCGAGGTTCAGCTATGGTTGTCCCGACTGAGTCGGTTGCCGAAAATGAACTATGTGAGCCGCATCTGGGTCAAATGGTGACATAGGTATGTAGTCCCAAACTCAGTGAAACTTATACGTGTGATATAAAGGTGAGTGTAGTGCGCAGAGGAAAGGCGGTGCTTCCTCGGTGGATGTGTATTCCGCCTTCTCCAGGATGACTGTCATTCTTCCTTTTTAAGCTGGTAAAGTAGCGATGGTTTCGTCCGCTTTGAAGCTGCTTATTGCCCCTTTTTCTTCATCAGATAAAGCGTTGTGTGCTTTGTTTCGTGTGATAGCTCGAACAATGGTTTGACGTATCGTCTACTGGTTTTATTCATTGAGGCCGCGCAATACATCAACAAAGACAACGCTCTACTCAATGACACAACCGCATACCGCCGTCTGCGGAACGACCAAACCGCAAAAATTACGAACAAGATAAACAAAACCCTGAAGAAGCTCATGGATCTCCACAAAATTCTAGTGGAAAAGTACTGGAGAATGAAGGCGTCTCAGAAGTTGCCCGGTTCTACAGACTTCCAAAGGTTCGCAAAGAAACGGTACCATTACATCCAAGTGTCTCACTACTAGTGAAAGGAAGAAGGCCTTCGAGGAGATACCGGTGTCGGGGTGCACCTGACGGAGGACCTTGTAGATGTAGATGGCATAACTCTCCTAACTCCTTCGCTTCTTCTTCTTATCGACCTTAGGGACCTTCACCTTCGACACCTTCTTCGCGGCTTTGCCAGAAACAGCCTTCGGATCCATGACGCTGTAGAGCAACGCAGTCCTTCCGGTTGATCAGGAAATTGGGTTGCGGCCGGCAACACGCATGTCTCCGGAGGAGCTAGAGGAAGAAAGAAAGAGAGCTCGAGAAAATTTGACCGCCGTTCAGGAAAGGACTAGGCAGAAAACGGTAAGCAGAAAGGTCCGAACGTTGCCCATAGGCACGAAGGTCAAGTGGATGGATCACCAGAATCCTGGAAGGAGTGGACTGGGCAGTCGATGGCAAGGGCCGTTTGTCATCACCGACCGCCGGGGGAACGTCTATACCATTCAAGATGGTCGGGGATCGAAAGTAGTGAATGGGACACAACTTCGCAAGTGGCATGATACACCCGAAGAGCGGCCGAGTAGACCCGCTGCCGAAGCCGACCTGACGATGGCATGCGAACGAGCTTTAAGGGGTGGAGGTGTGTAACGGTGATACTACTGATCGGGAGGCACGCGAGTAGTATGTGTTGTTCGTAGAATTTCGCTTTGCGTCGATTGGAAAATGGATTTCTCTTGCGGAATTCGCGGTGCCACTTTGTAACATTTGCTTTTATTTGACCGACGAATGATTGGAGTCAATGAATCTCCAGGAAGACTCGTTCGGGAGAAGATCTGTGTCCAGGTTTTGTAACTAAGATGCAGATTAGAGTTTTGCTTCCTTGTTCAATGGTCTGTAACCGGTCAGTTGGAATTTCCGAATAAATAACTCCGCAGCGAAGGCCTTCTTCCTTTCACCAGGACCACCCACGTACAACATTATGGAAGCGGCTGAGACACCTCACCAATGGTTCCCAATATTCAATCAACAATGCAGGACAATTCCTGGAGGGACTCAAAAACGTGAAAATCGAGGAAGACGAAATAATGGTGTCCTTCGATGTAACCTCACCGTTCATATCGGTTGATTCAAATGCAGCGAGGACGACGGTTGCTGAACTCCTGGACAACCGCGGAAACATCAACGGGAGAGAAGAAACATGTGAACTACTAGATCTGTGCGGGACAACCTACTTTGAGTTCAATGGAGAATATTATGAACAGATCAGAGGAGCGCCAATGGGGTCACCTATTTCTGGATTCATCGCGGAAATTAATGCAGAAACTGGGGCGGATCGTGGTACCAGGTATCAAACCGAAAATATGGGTAAGATATGTGGACGACACATTTGCTATTTTAAAGAAAAATTAACTGTAACGATCGAATGAACTGTTGCAGAACGTGTTTCCCGACAAAGCCACAACGGAAACCGAGAAGAATAACAAACTGGCGTTCTTAGATGTGCTCGTCACAAGGAAAACAAACGGCCAACTGCAAACTGAAGTATGCAGGAAAGAAACGTAAACGGACCAGATTCTGAGCTACCACAGCAGCCACCCAAACTGCGACGAACGAAGCTGTGTTCGAACCCTATTCAAGCGGATCGAGACGCACCGCGAAGAATAAAGAAGAGCGAAGACTGTACGAGACATCCTGAAATGACGGCTACCTGAGGAATTTCATCTGGAAGTGCTTACGAGACTACCACCAAGCTGATTTGTCAACACAACCAGAACAGAAGAAGATTACGCTGCCGTACATCAGAAACGTACTGGAGATGACTGCACGACATTTGCGGCAACATGGAATTACAGCCGCTTTCAAGTCTGCAAACACATTGCAAAGAACTCTCTCGAAACCATAGGGAAGATTGGATGTAGGGAAGAAGACGAATGTGGTCTATAAACGACTGCAACAGATACTATGTTGGCCAAATGTTAGGGAAACTTGCTACCGCAATACACGAACACAAGCTTTCAAACAGAATACATGACCCAATGTCACTTGTTTCAGTCCACGGAGACAGAAAAGTACACAAGTCCTATTGCGGCAATGTTCAAATACTTGCTCACGCGAGAACAAAACGAGAGCGAGAGTTTGCCGAGGCGTGGTCCTCCATACAGAAGTCAACCAATAGACACTTCGGCATTTACGCAGTCTATCAGCCGTTACGAGCAAAGGAAATGAACAGTCACGGGACTCAGCCACAGGGGAAACAAAAAACCTAACCACAACCAACAGACTGATGGGATCAAATGAAGTTAACTACCAAAAACAGAAGACCACTGAATCAACCAATCAAGGGAGCCAATTCAGACCACAAAGCAAGAGGAAAACGACCGAATAACAACAGAACAAGCACAAAAAACGTTCAGCTGTAGCACCCTTTCGGTGCCTAGCTGCCGTACCACACGAAGGAGGCACGAGGGCCGGTATACTACCAGGTTGCCCCAGCCTAGACAGAGGAAGTCGAGAAGCAGAGGTCGGGTTCGAACCA